TGGCGTGTGCACTGTGGTGTGTGCGTGTGTGTGTGAGTGCACTTGCGCCAGCATTTATTACAACAGACCCATGAACCTCCAAATGACACCTAGCAGGAAGCGACGTCTGTCTTTGGATGATGGTACCTTCGAAGGTGGGTGAGGGAGAGCTAAGCCGGAGGGGTCCGAAGGCCACTCCTGCGTCACTTAGCTGGGAGCCTGTGACAGCCAGGGAACTGAGAGGCTCAGGAGGGACTCTCAGAACTGGGCTGGGGTTGGATTCCAGGGCCGGCCAGGCAGGGGATGAAATGTCACGACGGAACTCCTGGAGTCTCCGGGCGGGCGCGCAGCCCCAGCAGAGGCCTTGGCCCATCCCCCAGCTCCGAGGGAACGGGGGTCTGCGGGAAGATTGCAGCCCGGCCCCCGCCCCGGACCCGCGCACGCACGGCCGGCCTAGGCAGGCCTTCCCGACTCCGGGCCCGGCCCGCAGGCCGCCGCGCTGACTCACCCGCGCTCCCGGGTCCCGACTGGCCGCGGGCGGGCGCCGCGAAGCCCTCGTCGTTCTCGATGCCCGCGATCTCGCTCTCCTGCTGGGCCAGAAAGGCGGCCGCCGGGTCTTCCTCCAGCGCCGCCGGGGCCCCGCTCTCCGGCGACGCGAAGAAGCCAAAGTCATCAGCCATTTTCGCCGCGTCCCTACCGAGCCGCGGCCCGGCGCTCGGCTCCGCCCGGACCGCCGCGGGGAGCGGCCTCGGCGGTGACTGCGGGCGCTGCGGGCGCGCTCCGCCCCACCACGGGCACTGTCACTGCGCTGCGGGCGCGCTCCGCCCCACCGGTGCTGTCACTGCGCTGCGGGCGTGCTCCGCCCCACCGGCGCTGTCACTGCGCTGCGGGCGCGCTCCGCCCCACCACCGGCGCTGGCGCTGTCACTGCGGGCGCGCTCCGCCCCCACCACCGCCACTGTCACTGCGCTGCGGGCGCGCTCCGCCCCACCACCGGCGCTGTCACTGCGCTGCGGCCGCGCTCCGCCCCACCACCGGCGCTGGCGCTGTCACTGCGGGCGCGCTCCGCCCCCACCACCGGCGCTGGCGCTGTCACTGCGCTGCGGGCGTGCTCCGCCCCACCACCGGTGCTGTCACTGCGCTGCGGGCGCGCTCCGCCCCCACCACCGGCGCTGGCGCTGTCACTGCGCTGCGGGCGTGCTCCGCCCCACCACCGGCGCTGGCGCTGTCACTGCGCTGCGGGCGCGCTCCGCCCCACCACCGGCGCTGTCACTGCGCTGCGGGCGCGCTCCGCCCCACCACCGGCGCTGTCACTGCGCTGCGGGCGCGCTCCGCCCCACCGGCGCTGTCACTGCGCTGCGGGCGCGCTCCGCCCCACCGGCGCTGTCACTGCGGGCGGTCGCACGGGCTGCTACTCGCCGGGCCGCTCGCCCGGCGCTGTCACTCGTCGTCGCGCGCGCGTGCTCGGCACACACTGCGCTGTCACTGCGCTGCGGGCCGCTCCCCCACCGGGCTCGTCACTGTCTGCGGCTGGCTCGCCGCCCCAAACCAACAACAAAAAACACAAAAACACCTGCGCTGTCACTGCGCGCGCGCGCGCGTCACGCTCACTGCTGGCCGCGCCGCGCTCGCGCTCTGCGCGCGCCTCGCACCGCCCTCTCGCGCTCTCACCCTTCGCGTCGCCCCGCTGTCACTGCTCTGGGCCCGCCGCACCGCGCTCATCTGCTCGGCCCACCGCCGCTCTCTCGCGCTCGCGCCCAGCACACGCGGACGCGGACCGCGGCATGGCTGGAGGTTCGCCAGCGCCCGCGCGATGCGCAGCGGGATTCAGCAACGACTAACCATCCTCGGCACGCGATAGCGGGCAAAATGCCACAACGCTCGCCGGCCACGACGGGCTGCCGCCTAGCCTCGGAGATCGAGTGGGTGGTACGCCTCCGCGCAGATCTGCTCCTGATTCGTTCTGCAAAAGTTCTTGCACTTAAAGCGGAGCAAATATTATGAATCCCATTATACGAGCCTCCTCCCTCTGTCAAGGAAAACGAGACTGGAAGGGCTTCGTGGCATTCTTTCGTGCAAGGCCAGGCCTTGCCCCAGTAGGCCATGTTGCATTAGTGCATTTCTTGTGTGTTCTCTTCCTATGAGGGAGACTCCAAGCTCATGCCCACCAGGGTTCTATAGCCTGACCGGCCCTACTTAGAAACTGGGCCCTTAAAACGTCCTTTAAATATGAACTGGCCTGAGAAAGGCAGACCCAAGTTAACCAGGCCACCTGCCACTCTCCTAATCCCAAAGGAAAGCTTCCAGTCCTTCCACATTGAGTAGGATAACCTCCCAATGGATTTGTCCAGATATAGCTTTTACTACATGGATGTAGCTACCTTCTATTCCTTGTTTCTTTCTTTTTTTTTTTTTTGAGACAGAGTCTCACTTTGTTGCCCAGATTAGAGTGAGTGCCGAGGCCTCAGCCTAGCTCACAGCAACCTCAAACTCCTGGGCTCCAGCGATCCTCCTGCCTCAGCCTCCCGAGTAGCTGGGACTACAGGCATGTGCCAGCCTTTTTTAAAAATAAGAAATTGAGGCCAGGCATGGCACCATGGCTCAGGCCTGAATCCTAGCACTCTGGGAGGCCGAGGCGGGCGGATTGTTTGAGCTCAGGAGTTCGAGACCAGCCCGAGCAAGAGCAAGACCACGTCTCTACTAAAAAATAGAAAGAAATTAATTGGCCAACTAAGAATATATAGAGAAAATTAGCCGGGCGTGGTGGCGCATGCCTGTAGTCCCAGCTACTCGGGAGGCTGAGGCAGGAGGATCGCTTGAGCCCAGGAGTTTGAGGTTGCTGTGAGCTGACACCATGGCACTCACTCTAGCCTGGACAACAAAGTGAGACTCTGTCTCAAAAAAAAAAGAAGTAATTACAGTGGGAGAATTTCATTATTTAGTCCTCAGAAATGGACTAGGAATAGAAAAATGCCTCTTACCAAGTTACGCTTTGTGTATTTCATAAGGTTGTCCTAAATAAATATATGTTTTTTTCTCACCAAAAATAGACAGCAAAAAAATCTTCAAATTATTAACGACAAAAAAAAATTGACAAACTGATTCTAAAATGTGTATGGAAATACAAAGAACCTAAAATAGCTAAAAACAACTTCAGAAAAAAAACAAATCGGAGAGCTAACACTATCTGATTTCAAGATTTTTTTTTCTTTGAGACAGGATCTTACTCTGTCACCTGGCCTAGAATGCCGTGGCATCAGCCCAGCTCACAGCAACTAAAAATTCAAGTGATCCTCCTGCCTCAGCCTGCCAAGTAGCTGGTACTACAAGTGTGCACCACTACGCCTAGCTAATTTTTCTATTTTTAGTAGAGATACAGTCTCGCTCTTGCTCGAGCTGGTCTCAAACAACTGACCTCAAGCAATCCTCCGGCCTCAGCCTCCCAGAGTGTTAGGATTACAGGTGTGAGCTGCTGCACCCAGCCGGGAGTTCATTCTAGACACAAGAGGCTTACAATACTGGTTGTATAGAGATATAATTCTTTTTTTTTAATTTTTCAATTTTTTTCAGACCTAGTCTCACTCTGTTGCCTGGGCTAGAGTGCCATGGCATCAGCCTAGCTCACAGCAACCTCAATCTCGTGGGCTCAGGCGATCCACCTGGCTCAGCTTCCCAGGTAGCTGGGACTACAGGCACACGCCACCATGCCCAGCTAATTTTTTTCTATTTTTAGTTGTTTGGCTAATTTCTTTCTATTTATAGTAGAGACAGGGTCTGGCTGTTGGTCAGGCTGGTCTCGAACTCCTGAGCTCAAGCAATCTTCCCGCCTCAATCTCCCAGAGTGCTAGGATTACACGTGTGAGCCACTGCTCCAGGCCCATTCAAGTAAGTTAATTGCATTTTCTCTAGGATTTTTTTATGCACTACACTCTTGACCTCACTTGCAGATACAGTTCCCCCTTTGCCAGGAGCATGTGTATGTGATACTTATGTTTTCCCTTCAGTTGATATTTCTTATATGCTATTCTAGATACTATAGAACTCAATTTGTGAGATTCACTATAAGCTCAAATTTTGTTACCTGTCTTTTAATAATGCAGATTTTGTCAAATCAAATAAAGAACAATGGAAGTTCTTTATTAAAAAAAAGATTTGGGGGGGGGGAATGGGCATTTATTGAAACCTTAAAATCTGTACCCCCATAATATGCCGAAATAAAAAAAAAGATTTGTTATATACTTATAGTAGTCAAGACAGAGTTATTATTAAGTTTATTAAGATAAACAAATAGAGGCCAGGTGCGGTGGCTCATGCCTGTAACCTTAGCACGCTGGGAAGCCAAGGCAGGAGGATAGCTTGAGCCCAGGAGTTCGAGACCAGCAAGAGTGAGACCTCATGTCTACAAAAAATAGAAAAATTAGCCAGGTGTTGTGGCATATGCGGGTAGTCCCAGCTGCTTGGGAAGCTGAGGCAGGAGGTTTGCTTGAGCCCAGGAGTTTGAGTTTGCAGTGAGCTATGATGACACCACTGTGCTCCAGCCCAGATTATAGAACATCTGATGAAGCGGACTCAGAGATGCCCAATGAGAGGTATCTCCATCAAGCTTCAGGAGGAGGAGGAGAGAAAGGGGAGATAATTATGTCCCAGAGGTCTCAGCTCTGGAACAGGAGATCATTGAAGTAGATCCTGACACTAAGGAAACGCTGAAACTTTTGGACTTTGTCTGTCTGTCCAACCTGCAGTTCACTCAGCCTACAGTTGGAATGAATTTCAAAACACCACGTGGAGCTGTTTGAATTTTTCTGCTACGCTGCAATATTTTAATAAACTGTCTCAAAGATAAACAAATACATACATGGAAGAGGACAGAGTCTAGAAGAAGACTTATGTGTATACATGCAAAGTTGCAAAGGAATTCAGTGGAGAAGGGACAATCATTACACTTTTTATGTTTAACTTTTCCTATGTTTGTCCAGTGGGAGACTCTTAAATTTGTTCCTAAGTCATAGACAGTTTGCTTTGACGCTTGATGTAACAATTGGATTGCTTTCTGATACAGCAAGATGTTCTTGGCTCCTCCTGCATGGTTCCTGCCCCAGATTGGACTCAGTCATTTCTTCAGAGTTCTGAAACCTTTTAGTGGGAAGTGATATTTATTTATTTATTTATTTTTATTTATTTTTTTGAGGCAGAGTCTCACTTTTGTTGCCCAGGCTAGAGTGAGTGCCGTGGCGTCAGCCTAGCTCACAGCAACCTTAAACTCCTGGGCTCAAGCGATCCTCCTGCCTCAGCCTCCCGAGTAGCTGGGACTACAGGCACGCGCCACCATGCCCGGCTAATTTTGTATATATACTTTTAGTTGGTCAATTAATTTCTTTCTATTTTTAGTAGAGACGGGGTCTCGCTCAGGCTGGTTTCGAACTCCCGACCTTGAGCAATCCACCCGCCTCGGCCTCCCAGAGTGCTAGGATTACAGGCGTGAGCCACCGCGCCCGGCCGGGAAGTGATATTTAGAAACCATTATGTGAGCACCTCAGGAGTTAATTATTTCTTATGGACCTCTTCAGTCAACAGAACTAGGAAATATACTTTTTGTTTGAAAGAGAAAAATATTATGTATTCTTAATGATATTTCTAAATCAAATTTGAGATAATGTTTTTGCTTAACCTCTTTGATTTTAGATGTATAGATTTTCTCTTTCCCTGAAAAATCTTGGTTCTAATGCAAGACATAGTCACTCTTTGTATCCATAGATACGCTGTAGCCTCCCCTTATCCTC